TCCCATCGAATTATTGTGGCTTCCTTCGTACTAGATCATCCCTATTGCTGACACTCATGTTTGGGATGTGACTTCTGGCAGGACTGAAGATGTCTGCATTAGGGTTAATTGCAGGGTCTGGAAGGGGCTTCCTGTTTTCTGGGGCTGATTAGGTCCACGGCTAATATATCCTCCCTGTGTAAAAGACAGTAAATTGTCCTTTAATGTATTTAATTCACTTTGAAATTTACTAATGTTTTCCATTTGTACTTCATGCTGATGTTGTACTCTCTCTCCTTGTTCTTCTTGCCACTGTTGCTGACTTTCCTGTAGTTGTTGAAGACTTTCTTCCTGTTTCCTTTCTTGTTCCAGTTACCACTGCTGTAGTCTCTCTTCTTGTTTATTTTCTCGTTCCTCTTGTTCTTTCTTTTTCCTCCAACAACTGCTGTAATCTCTCTTCTTGTTTCTTTTGCTGTTCTTGTATTTCTGCCATCAAATCTGCTAAGTCGTAGTTTGATTTGCCACTTCTCGTTTCCATTTTTTTTCTTCGTCCCACTCTCTGACACCAATTTGTTGCGCATCTGCTTGTTTGTTAATTTCCGGTAGAAATTCTTTCTGAGGAACTTCAGTGATACAAGTCATTTCTTGATTAACAAAGTTTATTCTTTCTTGATACAAATTTTTAGTACACAGTAATTTCACAATCAGTACGATTCTTGTCACTTGAAATGTAACTACTTTTATAATAAATGCTATAAATCACAGCGATTCACAATCTCGAAAACACACACTAGCTCGAAACAGTATCGTAAATTACCCGGAACTCTCTTCATTCATTTATGCAGACTTTCTCTGCCAGGCTTATATACTAAAAAAAGAGGGCGTCTCGAACAAACTCGGTCTTCCCCGATAATTCATGATCATTTGAGAAATTCATCACGTGTTACGTGACTTCCGCTGTCGTAACACAGTTAATTGAGCCTGACTGTTAATTGATTAACAAATTCTATTGATCATCAAGCTCTAGATTCTAGAAGTTATCTTCCCAGTTCTAAAAGCAGTAAGAGGGTTTCTTCTACTAGACTAGAAGTTATCTTCCCAGTTCTAAAAGCAGTAAGAGGGTTTCTTCTACTAGACTAGAAGTTATCTTCCCAGTTCTAAAAGCAGTAAGAGGGTTTCTTCTACTAGACTCTAGAAGTTATCTTCCCAGTTCTAAAAGCAGTAAGAGGGTTTCTTCTACTAGACTAGAAGTTATCTTCCCAGTTCTAAAAGCAGTAAGAGGGTTTCTTCTACTAGACTCTAGAAGTTATCTTCCCAGTTCTAAAAACAGTAAGAGGGTTTCTTCTACTAGACTCTAGAAGTTATCTTCCCAGTCATAAAAGCAGTAAGAGGGTTTCTTCTACTAGACTCTAGAAGTTATCCTCCCAGTTCTATAAACAACAAAAGGGAGTTAGAGATAACCTATAACACAAAAGACAAACAGTTGGAAACAATCACTATTTTGTTAAAATACACCATATTATTGTAAGTTTGCCTACAGGAATTAGGAAGAGTGACATTTTTAAATTATGTATATTTCCTTTTCTACCTGGTACAATAACTTCTTCAAACATTTCCCTCTCACTTGTCATAAAACACAAATGGTGCTCTGTGTTTCCTATTTACAACATACATCATTCAAATCATTTTATGTAGATTTTGTGATATCTTTTACACATGTCCTTTAGTGCTGTAGTAGAACACATTGTTTTCAAATAGAAGTTAGACAGTGTATTATTTATTTTTAAGGTTCAAGTATTTCTTGTTTTGTCACAGAACTCGGGTGAACAAGTTTATATTTGTGTTGTGGGTGTATTTTGCTAAATGTATTTTAATATTTCTTGAAATATTGAAGGAAATTGCCTTTGCAATGTACTATTGCATAAAACTAGATACAAAATTTGTACAGGTGATATATTTATCAGCCCTACTAGTAGTGCTGGATGCATAATTAACACAGTAAATTTTTTATACAAAAATCAACTCAGATACATTCACGTTTGTCTCAAAGAAAGTCATGATAAAACACAGTCTAACATCAAGACCACAAAGCAAAAGTATTATAAGTACAGCAATGATAAAGTTCAAGTTCATACTTTTCAAGAAACTAACAAAAAGATGTGGATTTATACTTCATGATTCCAACTTGGCCAACTTTCAATAGAATTTAGAAGAGTTATTTTGATAATACTGAACCATTTCCAATATTAAAAGCAACATAAATACAATTTCCAAGCTTTACTATTCTTGCAATGTGTTCTATAATTGGGCAAGTTCTTTTGGATTATTTGGTAAAAATAATGCCAAATCCAGTCAATGTAATGATAACAAATTACTTTATTTCTTCTTTAATGTTTTCAAATTCGATGACGAGGAACTCACTTTGAGACTAATAATGGCTGGAGACAGCTTGAATGGGTAATGAAGAAAAACTTTAATATAAGTTTAATGTTTGCTACATACTATTTTCATTTCCAGTTGTAGGCCTAATTGCACAAATGTTTCGATAGAAATTCTGAAACTAATGATAAGTATGCCTAACTTGTTTACAAAATTTCCTCCCTAATCAATCAACTGAATAGATTTAATAAATATCATTTCTAACACTGAATGACTTTTCTGACACTGAACTCGTAAATTCACTGAATACTCATTAATTACTCACTCACTGATTGTTGTTTTTATGCCATAATCTTATTTGTACAAACTCCATGAAACTTCTAGATAATTACAATATAGCTTACAACAATAGTTAGTACTAGTGAGTAGTACTCAGCAGTAGCAGTAACAAAATGTGCCGTCTAGCTTTTGAATTAAAAATATGCAAATAAACAACAAAATGTGCTGTCATTTAATTTACAGATGACATGATTCATGAAGACCTCCCTAAATAAAATATGTAATGCTCTTCTGAAAATGTTCTCAAAATGTCAAATTACAGACAACACAGTTTACTATCAAAATTTCACAATCGCAGACATGCAAAGCACATAACCGAACTTAAATTTAAAGCCTAACAGTATTCCTCTCTGTATGCGTACGACACTAACTATAAAAAATCACACAAAAAGTAATTTAACTTTAAATTGTGCTTTAATGGATCAAAAAAAAAAGTCGTGACTAATCATCAATTTAGAAATATAAACTTGTACTCACACTATATTCCACGTTTGCTGATTTGGCCATTTTAGAAAGGAAACGGAAATCCCATTCATATTTTTCAATCCGCAGGGTGAAATATTCAAGTTGTATCTTCGGAGTTTGGAATAACAAATTAATTAATGCATGAAATATAATAGTAATATATATCAATTAATAAAATTAAAATTAGAGATTTTAAATGTATATATAATTTCTATGAATTTATATCACCGATGAGAAGTGGATAAATGTCGTAAACTGTAAAATAAAATCAAAAGTGAAACAATAAAAATTTGGAGAATATTAACAAAATACTTAATAAAAATTATTTAACAACTGGTGTATAAATGACGATAACCTGTATAACTATCATTGAGGAATTTTTCTGTAAAAACCTGCATGGTATCAAGATTAATAAACTTAAATTAGAAAGAAACAAGTTTTAAGGTCGCTCCATAATTATGGTATGTGTGTGTTATTAAAATAATAATAATAATAATGGTGAAATCTAGCTTATACTGACAAAATTATTAACATTCGATTTATTGATTTTTATTCCAGTCATTACCGGTAGGACCTACATCTGTCATACTTAGTAAATGTACGTAAACACCTGTTATAAAATTCATCGTAAATAACTGATAAAAAAAAAGGATAAAAAAATCACTTATCTTGTCAGGTTAATTGCAATATAGGTGACATTCTGGTTCCATGTGTGTGTGTGTGACTCATACATTATTAGGGACCTGTAACCAATCAACAAAGTCATCGGACCACAAACATAAGTAGCTTAGGAAAAATATGTTTTCAAAGTCGATCATAATTTTGGAGTTAAACTGGAAATTATTTCATTGGTAAACGAGGAGACAATTTATTCGGTCAGTATTCTTAAAAAAAAATCAGTTTCTTATAAAATGACTCATTATTTTTATCATCAGTAAAATCTTAATGCTAGAACATAACTATGCTAGAACATAGTGTTAAATGGTTCTCGAAATTTGCACCAAAACGGTTAGAAAAGTTAAATTATTGGGGAAGTCAATGTCCAGGAACATTTATTTCTCATTTCCCCCCTATTCTCTCCATATCCACCTAATAAAGCAAAGGAGACAAGGATGAGGAACAACTGACAAGCTAAGCGATGCGAAAAATGTTATTGCTGGAAATTATTCAAAATGGGATGGCATGTGCCCCTTCTGCCTCCTGGTTAGGAGCTTATGCCGATTCCCCAATAACGCTCTTGTGCATTCTCGAAATATAGAATGTTGAAATAGCTCTGTGGAGTCTTTTAGTACTTTGGCCTTACCCCAACCTCCAAACCCTACTTGTGCTACTGTCATTAGTAGCTTAATCGGATGGCTTATAAATATACGAACAAGCTTATGTATGTTCTTTATACATTAACCAATCTCAGAAATCTTCACAGCCAACTCTCTCAACATAATTCAACATATTATTGAAACACAATAAATTCGTTTTTTTTTTGTTTTTTTTTTGTCAACACCTTGTGTGCGGTAAATGTTAAATTGAATAAATACAAAATCTTGATAAATTATCTTCTAATTTAAATACATATTTTTTAAATGGAGAATTTTCTTCTGTAAAGTCTTCTCTTTTCTGCAAAGTTCATCTAAACGTCTTTTTATTGTGATAAATTTAATTTAATAAACACTTATTAATTAATAATTACAATGTCATTCTAAAGATGGCGCCCTATAATTAGAGAAATGCTTCAGAGGTTTTCCAAGACATCGTTATTAACATAACTTAAGTATAACCAAAGAAAAAAGGTTACTCATTGTTTACATTGTAAAATTGACTATTATTTAGCCATTTTCTCAATACTGAAAATTCTCGAAGAAGAATCACTTACAAATAATTTAAAACATGTACTAACTTACCTTATCTACTCAAGCCTAGGTTACTAGGTACAAATAACGCAGTATCGGTATCAGGGGTAAGTTGATGTAGAATTTAAATTTTCACAATTAGTGAATTATATTAGTAAAGCAGACCAAATTTAAAAAATTGGTGATTAAACTTAACCTATAAATTTTTAAGCTTTAGGCTATCTATTACTAGTAATATAAATTATAAGAAGCATCAGTGTGGAATATATAACCTATACTATAAACGGCTGGTCCACAGGGAGATTTCAGGGGGAAAAAAATTATGTGATTTAAGATTAACTACTAAAGTACATTGTTTTACAGTGTAACTTAAAAGTAATTTAGAAAATAGTTGGGGTAACAATAAACTGAAAACTTGTTGTAATTGTTAAGAAAGTCTAATCCAACTGATTGAAAAAAAAAAATTGATAGTTTGTAGAAGCACCTCACTTGAAGCTGAATAAACATTTTATGATATAAATTATATAGCAGGTAGAAACTTTGTCATGACCAAAAGAATATTTTTAGTTATTTAGGTCTAACTTATTTTCAATAAATATTCTTTAATGTTTCAATTTTTTTAGTAATCTTATAATCTGGTATGTTGAAGTATATTTGGTTAAAAATTTAATTTTAATAGAAATATGATGTGTTCCAGTAATTTTATAGAATTCCAAATACAATTAATTATAATGTTCAACATTTTCGAATTAACTGTAGGTCAGTCAATAACATTTTGCAATTATAAAGTTATATTATATTTAGATGTTTGAAAAAAACTGGGTAATGACTTATGAAATCAAAGCCAGTGACCAGGAGATAAGAAAAAACTGGGCTTTGTTTCACAGGTTTTGAATTGTTATTGTGTTATCCATTTAACTTGATTTTAAAAACTAATATCAATTACTTCTTAATGGCAGTCACTTAAAACTCAAGCTTAAACTGTTTTAATCAGCTTATTAGAAAAGGCATAATGCTTTTAGCTAAATGATAGGAACTGAAGGATGTAATCAAAGCACTGTAAATATGTAATACTCTTTTGAAAGTAAAATATACATAGTTTTGGTGGTTTGAATAGGTGACAATGTCAGTGATGAGACAAATTGCTCTTTTGGAAGCTGGGTGCCAACCTTGGCATAGTCACATCATAGCAGCCAGTGGAAACAGGTTTGCTTATGCAGCCACTTTAGCCATATACATATATGAGGTAAGTGAGGTATAAAACTTGTAAAAAAAATGATTAATACACTTCATAAGTAAGGGTGATATTTGAAAATATATAAAAGTTGTAACTTCATACATATCTGTTGTTTTTGTATTAGTTAAAATGAGTTTTATTAATTCAAGCTGATTTTGAAGCTCTAAACATTACTTTCTTTAATGGTAACTGTTGTGTTTCTTTTCCATTTTTCTTATCTGATATTTTACAAAGGAAAAATTTAACTTGACAAAATAGTTTTGTATTTTCCAAGTCAATTTAAAAATTATACGTTTTTTTTAATATTTGTTTTTTTTTTCATTACTATAGATCTGATATTTGAATTTTAAAAAATGTGCATTTATAAGACAGGAAAGACAGTTTTACAGGGGTACATCTCTACCGTGAGCAGTTTACCGAGTATATAGGATATTTTCACAAAATATCTAGTACAAATAGGCTAAAATCAAGACTCAAAAACCTATAAAAATTAAACTAATATCACTTAATAGGCATTATTTTATTTTAAATAAACAGAACTACATGTGTATGTTGAGTGGAAAATATTTAGAAAATTTTGTATGAGACATTAATCTACTTAATGAGTGAATGTATTATTAAAAACGTGTTAAAATGCAAGGTGTAATGTTCCTCGTTCTTAAGAAGAAGTTCTTTCCTTCATTTGATGAAAATGTTTCACACTTTATAAGAAAAACATGTATATATATATATATATATATATATATGACTGACTTTAATATACATATCTTTAGAAGTAATTATTAAAGATATATAACCATCAGTATACAACAGATAACAGAAGGTAGTTCAGCCCATCAAGAATATCTATTGAAACATCCTACAGCTGTGCTAGAGCTAATTAGTACCTATCTCATCCATATGCTTCCTCCATAAAACCTGTATAGAATTCAAGCTATAAGCACAAAATAAATAATTTGTTAAACTGTTCCAAAAATTGGTAATTAAAGAAGATTTCTGTCAACAACAAGAGAAGTTGTTGGTTTGTAAAGGATTGAGATGATATGAAATAGTTTGTCTTTACCATGATTTGAATACAGATTCTCTGATTTATACTAGTCCATTAAGTGTTGCTCTTACTAAATGAACTATTTAAGAAATTAAGTTTCTTACAGACCAGTCTGCTTTCTGATTTCACATCATATCCCAGCATTCAACTTAAAGCTGGCAACACGTATACAACTTAACGTCAGGTCACAGTAAACTCCACCTTCTCAAACTGATGACACGTATAATATCAAGGCAGGCTTAGGACCTAATGTGTAATATAAATTTAATGAATAATATAACAGTTTAATACCAATAGATAGTTGATTGGGATATTAGACAATCTGCCCTGACTTGAACCCAGGATCTCTGGCTTACATGAGAACTGATGTTTTAAGTGATCACTTTAATCCTGATAATCATGATTTGTGAAGAATTACATTTGTTTCAAAATTTGACCTACTTTATAAACGTCACATATATTATTCTATGGGATGTCTTTAATTTTTTAAATGATACATAATTGTTTGTTGTGACATCGTAGACATCAAAAGTGTTAGAAAACTGTTTGAGTCATCACTTTCTCCATTTTATGCAAAACTAAGGACCTGAAATATTTTCTAAGCCTATATCTAAGTAGTTTGTGTTAATAGTTTCCAAACCCTGCTCTGGAATAATTAAAATCATAGTCAAATTTTCCAGCACTTTTGACCTTTATATGTTTTAAGCCACAATCCCTCTTTCTTCATTACATATGTTTATATACTGTAGAACAGTACAATGAAAAAACATTGTAGTTGACAAATAGTGAACATATATGTTTATATACTATAGAACAGTACAATGAAAAAAACATTGTAGTCGACAAATAGTGAACATATATGTTTATATACTGTAGAACAGTACAATGAAAAAACATTTTAGTTGACAAATAATGAACATATATGTTTATATACTGTAGAACAGTACAATGAAAAAACATTGTAGTTGACAAATAGTGAACATATATGTGTGAAATGTTTTTTTTATCCACAGTGTATCTGTTGTTTCATGTGGCTTTAATATTTTCTTGGCCCAAACTTAGAGATCAGTGTTTAATTCCTTTTTATGCCTGAGCAAAACAAAACAAAAATATAAACAACAGATTTTGTAGTGTTATAGAAGTCCACTTTTTTTTTTTTTGTCTGGACAGAAATATAAAATGATTTTGGTATACTGTTTCGTGACAGCTTGGAGAAGTTGTGAATATGTGCCTTATATGGCATTTCATCCGCACGTTATTTTTCATTTGATATGAACGTAATTTTGAAATAAAACAACGTGTACTTTGTTGTGATGTTATAAAATTCAGTGTATAAATTTGAAACTGGTGAAGTTTTAGCCTAATTGACAAGAAACAACTGTGGGAAAGTAGTTTTATACCAGTACTTTACAATACTTTTTGTTTGAAATTTGTTTTTCGTAAAGAGCATTAGGGAAAGATAGTTTAATCTGATCTGTTCATTTTAATGATACAGCCTTGGATGTCATATTCTGATCTGTTGTTTATTATAGTATAGCTTTGTAAATCTTATGTTCTGTTTTATTCATTATTACAACACATCCTTAGAGACATCATATTCTGAGTTCATTATGATACATCTTTGGAGGTCTCAATTCTCAGTTTATCATATACATATACCATTATTAACAAAACCTTAGATTAAATATGCAGTCCTCGGCTTAGCATCTCTAAACTGCCTGCAACTTATTTTACACATTCAGCAAGTCAAAAATATAAAATAATAAAAGACATGAGGTGTTCTTTAGTTGCTTTCTCAGAAGCTAGGAAAGCCATGTTTTATATTTTTAAGATTCTGTTTCCCCAATTTTTTTATTTTCCTTCATTTCAGATGGACAGAAAACAAAATAAGTTTTGTTTACAGTCTATTATGTCAGAACACAAAAATACAATTACTTGTTTGACGTGGCATCAAACGAATGAAGACTGTCTGGCCAGTGCAAGTGCTGATCCACAAATCTGTATCTGGAATGTAGCACAACATGTTTTGCTTGCGTGTCTGAAAACGCCGCTGGCCATACCAACGCTGATAACGTGGTATCCAGAAGAGAAAGATAGTTTAGTTTATCTAGAAAGTCAAGGACCTTTGTATCTGTGGAGATTTTCCAAGAGTGGTAATTGTTCTTCGGGAAATTATGGAACTCAGTTGAAAGAGATTCAACCCTTCCTTAGTGGTGTCACACGTATACAGTGGAACTCTTTAGAATCACATCACTTGGCCTTAGGCCATCAAGATGGAACTGTTTCTTTATATCTAAAATGTAAGTTGAACTTTTTATACTTATAATATTCTCTTGATCATGTTATTTACCAATTATTATTAGATACAAAAAGTTATCTTTGCCAGAATTTTGCATAAAAAAAAGTATCGAACTTGGAAAATATAGGCCTAGCATGACTTGGTGATTCACAGTCTGAGGGTTGTGGGTTTCAATCCTGTCCCCGAACATGCTTGCCCTTTCTGCCTTGGAGGCATTATAATATGATGGTCAATCCCACTAATCATTGGTGAAGAGTAATCCAAGAGTTAATGGTAAATAGTGTATACTAGCTCCTTCCCTGTAGTCTGTCACTTCAAAATTAGGGATGGCTGGTACAGACAGTCCTAGAGTAGCTGTGCAATGAAACATGAAATTAAAAGCAAAGAAACAATTGGAAAATAGTTTACCTGTAGATAGAAAATATTGTGTTTTTGAATAACAATTTGTAAATATTTATACGTATTATAAGATTATTTGTAATGTCTACTGTGTTTATTACATTTAAAACGTTTTTAATTACTCTTCTTACATTTTCTATCATAGCACAAAAACCAAAGAGACATATTAAACTAAACTGCGGTGCAGACGATAACACCATTAATACAGAAAACTGTGCCATAACGGGACTTGAGTGGGATCCCTTATCGCCCCACTATCTTCTAATAGCTGTTCAGAACAGTTGCCTACTTCTAGCAGACATCAGTGGAAACACTCTTCACACCATTATGATTTTCAACATGCCAAGCAAGGCTTCAACAGCTCAGACAATAGCCTGGATACCAAATGCTCCGGGGATGTTTATTTCAGGAGGTGAGTCCTGATATTCAAACATACCATGTACCCCAAATGTCAAACACCAAATGCTGTTATAATAATTTATACCAAACATGTTAGACTAGAATACACCAAAACTATGATCCCAAAGATGCTGGTTCTGTTGGAAATTAATCCTGGCACAGTAAGACAGTCACTTGGTGTTTTTCATTATTGTTTTTACTTGTATACTGTAAATACTATTTACTGTGATGATTGTTTTAGTTAATAAGTTCCTATTACAGTTTATGTGACAACAGAAAATTTAATTTTGAAAATATTTCCTTACACAGTCAAGGTACTTATGTCTGTTGGTAAAACGGAAACCCGAATAAATATATAATACAGTCATGGTACTTATGTCTGTTGGTAAAACAGAAACCCGAATAAATATATAATACAGTCAAAAAGTTATGTTTCTGTTTTATCTATAAACTTGGTTCACTAACTCCTCTTCATCAGAGTTATGTTTCTGTTTTATCTATAAACTTGGTTCACTAACTCCTCTTCATCAGAGTTATGTTTCTGTTTTATCTATAAACTTGGTTCACTAACTCCTCTTCATCAGAGTTATGTTTCTGTATTTATGATTTATTTAATATTAGAAATATTCCATTACTTATTTTCTAACAGTTTTACTGTATTATATATTTATTCGGGTTTCTGTTTTACCAACAGACATAAGTACCTGGTGAAGAGGAGTTAGTGAACCAAGTTTATAGATAAAACAGAAACATAACTCTGATGAAGAGGAGTTAGTGAACCAAGTTTATAGATAAAACAGAAATGTAACTCTGATGAAGAGGAGTTAGTGAACCAAGTTTATAGATAAAACAGAAACATAACTCTGATGAAGAGGAGTTAGTGAACCAAGTTTATAGATAAAACAGAAACATAACTCTGGTGAACAGGAGTTAGTGAACCAAGTTTATAGATAAAACAGAAACATAACTCTGGTGAAGAGGAGTTAGTGAACCAAGTTTATCAGAGAATGGTTCAAAATCAGGCCCAGGTTTGAACCTTGGTAACAAGAAAGAAGTTTACATGCTGTTAGGAAGTTATTGGCTTAGTGATATACAGAATAACAGAAGAAACAGCAGAGTTTAGAACCTACTTAGAATGTAAATGACTTTACTGTAACTTTCTACGTTAAGAATTTTGTGATAAGTTACATGATTTGTCAATGTGATAATGATAAATGTTTTGACTTGTATTCCACAACATGTGGATGTATCTGTACAAGACACGTGTATATATCAACACATGACACAACACGTGTATATATCAATACATGACACAACATGTGGATGTATCTGTACAAGACACGTGTATATATCAAAACATGACACAACACGTGTATATATCAATACATGACACAACATGTGGATGTATCTGTACAAGACACGTGTATATATCAACACATGACACAACATGTGTATATATCAATACATGACACAACATGTGGATGTATCTGTACAAGACACGTGTATATATCAATACATGACACAACATGTGGATGTATCTCCACATGTTGTGTCATGTATTCGTATCTGTACAAGACACGTGTATATATCAATACATGACACAACATGTGTATGTATCTGTACAAGACACATGTATATATCAACACATGACACAACATGTGGACGTATCTGTACAAGACACGTGTATATATCAATACATGACACAACGTGTATACATCAATACATGACACAACATGTGGACGTATCTATACAAGACACGTGTATATATCAATACATAACACAACATGTGGATGTATCTGTACAAGACACATGTAACATAACACAACATGTGGATGTATCTGTACAAGACACATGTATATATCAACACATGACACAACATGTGGATGTATCTGTACAAGACACGTGTAACATGACACAACATGTGGACGTATCTGTGCAAGACACATGTATATATCAATAACATAACACAACATGTGGATGTATTAATATGTGACACAACATGTGGATGTATCAGTACATGACACAACATAAATATTTCAATACATGATGCATGTAGGTATATCAATACATAACACAACATGTGTATATATCAGCATGTGACAACATGTGGATATATCAGTATATGACACAACATGTGGATATATCAGCACGTGACACAACATGTGGACATATATCAGTAAGCAACACAATATGGATATATATCAATATGCGATACAACACATGGATATATCAAAACATGACACAATGTGTGGATATATCTCAGTAGAAAACACAGCATGTGGGTGTATCAATAGGTGTAACATGTGGATGCATAAAAACGACACAACATGTGGATGTATAAATATGTGACACATGGATGTATCAATCTGTGACACAACATGTGGATGTATTGGTGCATGAATGCCAACAGAGCTAAAACATATATAATTTCACATCTGTATTTTTAAATTATTCTTCTAAATTTATAACTTGATATTTTTTTCCATTTAAACTATCTTGAATTTTGCAGTGGTATTTAATTGTATCTTTAGATTATGAGACTGGAGTTCTTCGAGTGTGGACTGTTTCTCAGAGAGGACCCCTTGAAAATATTTGTTTAAAACATAATGGATTCCATGCTATTCATGTAGTCAGTTGTAACCAAAAGCAGTCTTCAATGCATGGAAAAACTGAAAATCCTAAAGTAAATCCAAAAAGGACATCCTATTGTGGACGAGGGTACGCTGTGCCTACGGCAAAAATTGCTTGCTTGTTTGTAGATGGTGGAGTTGGCCTTTACGATCTCAAGAAATGTAGCTGGGACTTCTTCAGAGACACTGTAAGTGTTGGAGAATGAAGGAAATAATTAATTAGACATAATTATTTTTTGTTTGAAATATAGTGTATCATAATATTATGTTAAAGTCTGAAACTGAAGAGATTTTTTTTATATATAAACAGAATTTTCTACTTCTTTTAGAGGTAAGGGAAAAATGTTTACTGTAACTATCACAATATAAAGAAGACTTGTAGTTTTTGTAATATAAAGTATTTTACATAATTCTCTTAGACTTACAAAACAAATGTTATCAATGAAGACCTGTAAGATGTGTGACCAAAATCATGTTTTATATATCAGTTTGAGGGCTAGTACATGGTAAGTCCATGTATAATTGTGTTGGCTAGTACATGGTAAGTCCATGTATAATTGTGTGGGTTAATACATGGTAAGTCCATGTATAATTGTGTGGGTTAATACATGGTAAGTCCATGTATAATTGTGTGGGTTAATACATGGTAAGTCCATGTATAATTGTGTGGGCTAGTACATGGTAAGTCCATGTGTAATTGTGTGGGTTAATACATGGTAAGTCCATGTATAATTGTGTTGGCTAGTACATGGTAAGTCCATGTATAATTGTGTGGGCTAGTACATGGTAAGTCCATGTATAATTGTGTGGGTTAATACATGGTAAGTCCATGTATAATTGTGTGGGTTAATACATGGTAAGTCCATGTATAATTGTGTGGGTTAATACATGGTAAATCCATGTATAATTGTGTGGGCTAG